TTATGACGGATCTTATTTTCACTCCAAGCAACAGAATATGAGGTAGGAAAATGGTGGTTTTGTGTAGCAAGCTGAAGGTGAAATATAGGTTGCAAAACTGTGGCCTTTTTAAGCTAAAGGGTGAATCATGAAATTTAAATATTGCAAGTGTAATCAAGGCAACTGTGAAGATTTTTTAGAGTGAAAAAATCAAGATAAATTATTGTTAGGTGTATCAATTTATGAGAGTGAATAAATATTTGGTATATGAATTGGCACTATTTTGTAATTGCAAGCTATTGTTCAATCGTTAAAGAAATCCCTGTCCCCTTACAGCTATTTCCATTAAAGAATAATTTAAAAAACCTACCCTGAAATTTTTGACAATCGTAGCCACCTCGCTTGAGGTTGGGAAATTACACTTATCTCTCTTGATGATATGAAAATACTATGATATCCTTTACAAATTTTCAATGAAAATGAGTTCAAAAGAGAAAATGAAAATTCTTTTTTGGTAATATATCTTTATCTTAAAATTCTAATGTTATTTAATTTAGTACATTGTACTTCATTTCTGTTTTTCTGATTAGATTTATTAATCAATTTACAAAAAATCAACCAACCAAATAGGGAAGCATTTGTTAAAATAAGTATGTTAAAAAATTACTTAAAACAAAAAAAATAAGTCCAAAGTATCAAGAAACAATGCTTTCAAAAGAATCAAAACATGGCTTAAATTTTTTTGCAAAAAACTAACTTGAAAATTTCACCTAAGGGATAACGGTGACATTTTGGCGAATTTGTATTACATATCAAAGAGGGGTAATATTGGATATTCATTAGATTTTTTTTTTTTTTGTTTACATCATCAAGTGTTACTGAAACGTAATTTTTGGAGAGGTTTCCGTAATTTTTTAAATCTCAAGAAAGATAGTTGCGATTGTCAAAAACCTCAAGGAATGTTTCCAAAATTCTCTTCCCTTAATTAGTTACTTGTATTTAATTAGTACTCTAATTACTTAATTGTCATATGTTAGTTTCTAATTAATATCTTAGGTTATATGAATAATTTCTTCCCATATGATACATGCAATTGGATCCAAGATACCGACAAAAGAGGTCAGTGTTGTTTTGCAAACATCAGAAGAGACCAGTGAAATTGTAGAAACTTCGGAGGAGGTTTCTAAAATTATTCCAATATTTTTTCTAGAAGGAACTCTCGGGCCCAGGTTTTATAGCTTAGGTACATCTATTTCCTAACCTTCGGCCACCAAGTTCAGCAACTAAAATAAATAAAATACAGTACCATGTCTCCATCATTGTAGGCCACCTGCCCAGCGAAAAATATACGATGGATTTAAGAACCGACTTGTTCTCATATTGCGTGTCTAACGTTTTTGATGTGATCTTTTTTCGTGACTTAACATTCATCCAAAAGTACCAATCTTATTTTTTTTTCAGTCAGATTTTAACCAATTCACTTGCCTTTTTGTTTTCTCCTTATGATCTTCAATTTTAATTTCCTTAAAAAAAAGGAGAGAGATAAACTTGCAATAGTTACAGATATATATTTTTGAATACATACATTTGCCTAAAACATATACTATAATTTACCAGTTTGCTTTGCTTTGTACAGAATCCGGCATTTGGTCAGTCCCGTCCGAAAGAGAATCAAGAATTTTCGCCATTTGAACTTTTAGAGAGAACTAGTATTTTGACCTGTGCTATGCACTGGTTATATTTCAAATCAAAATAATTATTTTTTTTTGTCATCTCTATTATATCCTTGTAATTCCCCTTTTTTTTAACTTTACCTATCATAATGAAAATATAAAATTAAAAATTAATTACAATGATTGCAATTATTAGTATCTAAAAATAGAAATGAAAAACTGATAATATCTATAATATTCTCAAGTATTTGAAATTAAATAATTTTAAAAAGTAACCAACAATTTCAAATGTGAAGAGTAGATGTGGAAGTTGAGAGGAATATATTTTATGAATTAAATTAAATGTGCCATGCTAGAAAAATGGAATTGGTAGTGGGCAGATAAGTGAAGGCTTGTTGCTAAAAATACCTTCTCAAATTTATATAGATATAGATCCCTGTTCTTTTCATCCAGTTCAGCCCCGAGATCTTCCATCAAAATCAATTATAATAGTCATTAAGCTCCTTTGTCGTTAGTCATATAGGGAAAATTCATCCTCAAGAAAAGATCGAGTCCAGTCGAGCAAATTTGACAGGTGAAGCTAGAGACTTCAATATCTGCTTATCTGATTTGGGATGACTTCCTGGTTCTTGCCAAGCACCACACGCTTGTTACGTATGAAGAAGACAAAGCTTACTAATCAGAAAAAACGCGTGGTACTTGTGACGCTCAAAGAATTTAATGGGAAGCCCAATCATCATTAAATTAGAGAAAATTATTCAAAACGTTTTCTCACATTTTATTGAATAAATTTTTTTATCTCTTATTTTTAAATTATTAACTTTATATCCCTTATAAATTCAGATTACCAAAATTTGTTTCCGACCTAAGATTCTGACCTTTTTTTAGTCTGAGATTACCATGTGACCCACATACAATCAGTTTTAATGCGCAAAAAATGTTAGATCCCATTTTTCTACTGAAAAAGTAAATATGGTTCGTGTCAAGTCTTACTTTTTTTCTTTTGGATAAAAGATGAATATGGATCAGGTCATTTATTTAACTACAAATATAATCTAACCATTTTGCCCTAAAAAAAAAATCATGGGTAGGTCACGTGATAGATTCAATATAAAAAGTGGTCAAAAATAGACTATTGACTTAATTTTTTAAGGGACGTAAAGTTATTATTTCAAAAGTGAAGGAACCAAAAATTCGTTTGATGAAATATGAGAGACGTTTTGAATGATTTTTCCTTAAAATTGAGGCTTTCTTTTTTTATTCTAACAATAGACATGAAAAAAAACCAAAATTAAAGCACCCACCAGCATAACTATTTTTGTGAAAATGATAAGATTAACCTTAACATGAGATTGACAAATTTGGAAATCTCTTAAAAAATTGCTATCAAATTAAATTTTGATTGTTGACATTAAAATCAATCATCCGCTTGCCATAGGTGTCATGAGATTGACAAATTTTTCTTTTTCCTCCTCCACGATAATAAAAAAAAGAGATAAAAAAAAGCTACATGATGATCTACATGAGTTCTTGTAAATAATATCTCACTAAATTAATGGATTGATTTGAAGAATTCAAGTTTAAATAAGATTTGGGGAAGAGATGAGTTGAATGGTTTCGGATGAGGGAGTATAAATAAGAGGTCCTAAATTCAAGTACCCTGACTTACACTTAAAAAAAGGGAAAGAGTTTAAATAAGATCATACATTCTTTAATTCTCAACTTGGACTCAATTTTGACTTGCTGAACACAAAAATTTTGAATATTTATTATTTTGGCTTGACCAATTCTATATACTATGAGAATTACTTCCAAATTCACAATAGAAGTCTTTTTTTTTTCAGACCCACTCCAGAGTGTTTAAGTATTTTTGAGGTTAATTTGTCATAACCATTATAGTAAGAATATTTACACTATTCTTCCATATATTTTTTTCTCTTCCATAAATTTTCTATTTTTCTTTTTTTTTTGTGCACCTTATAATTATTTCTACGTCTAAAGAGTGGAATTTCCTTCTTAAAAAATATGAATTTCCGCACACTATCCTCCCCAATAAAATTACAAAGTGAACCATTATCCAAATTTGTAGACTAGAATTTCTTAAGAAATAAAAGCCTCAAGATAATTCACTTCCCAATATTTTAAAAATTTTTCTAGTACATAGAAAAACAGGGTGGGGTTAAATCCATACCCCTTGATACTAAATCCATACTTTAAACACTTATTAGATTTTATACTCTTGGATTTTAAATTTATTTGATGATTTTTGTAGTTTCAAGAAACATATATTAAATTTATTTGATGATTTTTGTAGTTTCAAGAAAATATATATTATATAATAAAAAAGAGAACAAATGGTCACATTGTAAAAAAAATATTTTCAAGTATTTTACAAGGGCTTAAAAATATTTACTAATTTAAAATTTAATTTAGAAATCCAAAATTTTCAATTACTAATAAGCATGTAAATAGAAATGTTCACAAATTTCAATTTCATAAAATTAAAATCCATTGAGTTCTGAGGTGAAAATGCAATCATATTGACTTCATACTAGTAATATTTACCATTTTTTTGGGAAAAATTCCGTAAACGGGGTGGGGATGCCAACCCTAATTTTATTAATTATTTAAAAAAATGGAGAAGGTTCGAACCTTACCTCCAATACATGTCAAGAAACATAAATTTGGAATGAGAGAAACAAGAAAAGGAATTTCTATATAAGGCTTAAATAACGATATATGTGTGAGTTTTTATATAGAAAAGATGTTATTACTCTCTCTTTTCATTATGTAAAAAGATAATTAAATACTATAAAAAAGTGTTGATTTAATGTATAAAAGTTAAGGGCATAAGTGCTTAATAAGTATATAGGGTGTGGATTTAGTATAAAGGGGTGTGGATTTAGCCCCTCAAAAAAAAAGAAAAAAAAGGAAGAAAGGACAAATACTAGTGGTATATCAATTAATCTAAAACCCTGTTTAGGATTGGCAATGCGTGCACAAAAAATATGTTTTTAAGTAATCAATTTCTAAAGTATTTGTAATCAATTTCTAGTATATTTGTATCAATTGAACTATCAAAAGTGTAAATTTTGGATAATTTTATTTAATTTTATCATTAATTTTGTCAGATTTAACTATTAATAATATATTTCGTAAATCATGTGAATTTTGATAATTTGATAGATAAAATCATACTATTAATAATAGTTGAATGATCAAATCTTTACTATTCAAAAATTCAGTGACTATATGGATAATTCGCTCGTAAATTAATGGAGCCCACTTTTTAGTAATTTAAAAGAGCTTTTATTAGGAGCAGAAGCACATGTGTCATTTATGAGCCACCGGCCTCTGATCTAAAACGCGGCCGTAGAAAACCCGAAGCAACAAATAGCAGTTGCACCTTGAAATTGGTAACTGCGAGTTTATCGCAACGCCGCCTCTTCTGACGACACTCAGCTCTCCTCTCCTGTCCCCGCCCGCCCCGCTTTCCCTGTTGCTCTTATATTAAATGTTAAAAAAATAATTACTGACTTAATACTCTCATTTAATTATCATTTATATGAATCCGATTCTTCGTATTCATCTTTTCCCCAGCATCGAGAAAGTAAATCGCCCATCTCATTTTCTGTAAATTGTCTATTCAAATTATTGCATTTTATTTATAGATATATAGTTTTTGGGAGACAGCTGCAGTTGCATAGAGAGAGAGAGAAAGGTAGGGGTAGGGGAAAAGATGGTGAAATTAGCGGCAGCTGTAATAGTGCCGTTGGGCGTTCTCTTCTTCCTCTCTGGCCTCGTCATCAATCTCTTTCAGGTACCTATTGCATCCTCCTCTTATTATTATTTTTTTAAATTTTATTTCTGTATTTAAAAAAAAAATTTAAGGATTTGCATCGAAAAATGAATAATTAATGCCTAAAAGTTAGGGTTTCCAAAATCTTGGTTTTCGTTATATTTAGCTGTCTGGTAAGTTTATGCATTAGGTTTTTTTTTTCTTTACGTTTGAATTTCTCTTTCATGGATGAAATTGATTTAGGTCAGAAAAATTCGATATTTTCAATGCATTTCGCGTGACTATCGATCCTTCAGTTGAAAGTGCGTGAAATTTGTGGATTTTAATGTACGAGTGACGAATTTTTTGGTTGTGGGATAATTTTTCAGGCGATATTTTTTGTCCTGATAAGGCCACTATCCAAGAGTACGTACAGGAGGATAAACAGAGTGTTGGCAGAGCTACTGTGGTTGGAGCTCGTTTGGATAGTTGATTGGTGGGCTGGAGTTAAGGTAATGATGATTGTTTTCCTTCATAAGAGAAGTGTTATTTCTATTTTTATTAAAGTTAGCTCATTGCTGTGATGTTTGATCTGGCTGTTATATTCTAGACATGCAACTTGATGGGGCTGTTTAACTCGAATAGAGGTTGTAAATAAGGTGCTAATATAAGGTTATTCCAGTAGCGGCACCATTTAGTTAAGGAGGTTAATTGTGAAGCAACGCATGTGACATATTCGAGTTTGGGAATTGGCCATTCATGTGTGTATTTTTGTGTATTTTATCAAGATCAAGTAATGCTGAGACCGATTAGCTTTGTACTCCTTTTTAAGTACGGAAACAACTGTCATCTTAAGTAAATTTTTTTGTATGTGCTACTATGGTCTAAAGGAAGTCTCTCAAACTAGAAGTGGGCTGGATTATCGTGTGAAGCCTTTAATGCAATTAAAGATCTTCATCTCCATTTGAAACATGATGAAACCTACACTTATTGCTGGTTACATTAATTTTTATCACTTAAGGCATTTGGCAACTCGAAGGAAGGTGTAATAAATGTTTGAAAGCAAGGAACTTTGTATGTGCATAGAAGGAAAGCGAACATTCAGGAAGCACAGTGTGGCTTTGCTTGTCAAGAAACATCCACATGTTCTCTTTTATACCCTTTAGCAACCTTTTTGGAACAACAAAGGGAATCTCTAATTTGGCACATAATTCTTTAATTTGAATATGCGTGACCAGCTTGAAGTGCAAGTAGCACTGAAGGTAAAGGCCTTCTAGTGCTCAAATTTGAAGTCTGAATGCTGCCAATTTAAAATCTTCTATTTAGCATGTTAGAGGGTGGTCACAATGCATAAAGCTAGGTTCCATAAAACATACCATCTTAATAGACAAATTTCATGGCATATTACTTGCAAATCATTAATATAAAATATTAATCTTTTTTTGGTGCAGATTCAACTCTATACAGATTCTGAAACCTTTAAGTTGATGGGTAAGTGAGAGGGTATCCATCTTCCCTCTGTGTGTGTATTTTTAATGCTTGCTGCAGTTCTTCTCTCACTGTTGTTATCCCAGGATGTGTGATTAATGCATTTGTTGTGGTTAACTTTTATCAGGTAAAGAACATGCACTTGTTATATCTAATCACAAGAGTGATATTGATTGGCTTGTTGGATGGGTTCTGGCTCAGGTCTGTTTCATATCTGCTGCTTTTCCTTTGGCCAGCTGTTTTTTACTGGATAAGTAAAGTAAGACATGTAATAGCAAGATGGTATTTCCCATATGCAAGAATTGAGTGATTACGTGTGAAGTTCAGAGAAAAAGTTCATTGAAGAGTCTATTCATGCAAGAATGATTTCCTAATCCAAGGCAACAAATATAAAAGCCCAGCATTATCCACCAGTTTCTGGATTACTTGAAAACTCTCTTATTCCTCTCATTTCATATTACCGAAATCACTTCACTGGTGCACTGTGTCTAGCTCTTATTATTCTATGTATTTAGTCTGCCTTGGTCCAGCAAAACATGACATCTAGAACATTGCTTGGCATAACCCACCGACATTGGAATATGCTTAACAGCAGCCATCAACATTCTTGATCTAGTTTACAGTATATATAATGTGTCTTGGCCATGCGCTTTCATAAGAAAAAATAGCTACTCACATAAATCTGGCTTTCCTCTGCCATCTATGCTTTGCCTTCTTTGCTGTATTTTGCAGTGTTTGGATATGTGAGAGCTTGATATTACACTTAGAATTCGTTATAGATGCCTGTTTGAACTAATTTGTATGTAAATTAAGCAGTAAACCAGTAGACAAGGAGTGTACCATCTTTCTGTGAAAAATATAGTTTATTTCCCTTATGCAGTAATTTTTACCTGAGGAAGACAAACTGAGATACTCTGATAGAATCTGCAGTATGACCCCAACTTTTTGGTTCTTTGTTGTCATTATTTGCTTCTACCTATTGCTTTAATCTTTAATCTGTTGAACAGCGATCAGGTTGCTTGGGTAGCACTCTGGCAGTCATGAAGAAATCATCAAAGCTTCTTCCGGTAAAGGGTTTTATTTTGGCATTTAGCATATGTGATGCAACTCTTACTACTCTGTAATTTTGTCATAATTGACAAAGTTGTTCGCGGACTAATTTCTTCTGAACATGCTACTGTTGTGAATTTCATGTGTTCTGTTCTTTTGGTACATGTATTCTAATTGCTTTTTGACAATATACAAAAAGCTTTTCAATGATGCAAGTACTTTCTGAGAAATTAGCATTTGACTTCGAAATTGTATTTTGTACTCCATTGTTATATGATTTTGAAATAATTTCTTGGAGTAAATCCTTGTAAAGCATATTGCTGCTACTAGAATAGTTGCACAAAGAAGAAAATTGCAATAGGTGTTGATTCGATTTTCAAATTTTTTCAAAGAACATGCTTTTTGTGCTATTACATGTATTTTGGATTCTCAACTATTTCGGATAAAAGCAGTCACTCAATTTTCCATGTTGGCAGCCCATTTTGTCTACGTGATGTATATTGTGGACTTTTGTCCTGTGTAATTTTGGGCAAACATATGAAATGCCCTACATACGAAATGCCCTGGTAGTATGCATGATTGGGGGAAGAAACCTTTTTCTGCTGCAGCTAAAGAAGCAGAACTGAATCTTGCCTACTTTATTCTATTTTGTGTGAAATTTGTTTTTGGCAGATGAAAGGCGCTCTGTAATGATTCTTTCATATTAAAGTTAAGAGGGTAACAATTCAGGAAAGGAGAAAAAAATGAAAACACGTGTTGGATAGGGTATTATTTGAAAAAATGAAAACACTTTTGTTTGGATAGAGTATTATTTGAAATATTATTTGGAATAATTAATGTAGCACTTTTTGTGATGTGATGTATGCGAGATAAAAAGGTGATCGGAAATATAAAAAGATGGGTTGGGAAATGTGTGTATGATGTAAGGGAAAATTATTTGAAAAAATTTGGTATCCAAACAAATTTTAGCATTGGTTTTTGTAGGTGATGGATGTTCTTCTACTTAAGTTTAAATTTGTATATTTCCATTTTGGCCGGACGCTTCTTTGTTCCTTTTGTTGTACATTTCCTTGGAGCTTCTGTTGTGAGTTTACATATTCAATGAGAATGATTTTGTATTCTATTTTGTGCAGGTCATTGGCTGGTCCATGTGGTTTTCTGAGTATCTTTTTCTTGAAAGAAGCTGGGCCAAAGATGAGAGCACTTTGAAGGTATGGTAATCTAAAGTAGGTTCTTGACTGCCTTTACTTCTTATTTGTTTTTGAACATACAGGTTTATGCTTCTTTTTCCTTTTCTTTTTCTTTTCTTTTTTTTTTTCTCTTCCAGTTCATTGTTTTGGAGCCATCCTAATTGAATTTGTCTGAGCTTTTATTGGCTTCTATTTACAGTCAGGGCTTGAACGGCTAAGGGATTATCCTCTGCCCTTTTGGCTAGCGCTTTTTGTTGAAGGGACTCGTTTTACACAAGCAAAGCTCTTAGCTGCTCAAGAATATGCAGCATCATCTGGGTTGCCTGTTCCTAGGAATGTTTTGATTCCCCGTACTAAGGTTGAGATCTAAATTCACTCTACTCCTTAAAAAGAGTTTGTAAAGATGTTAACTGCTATTCTTTTTGTTTGTGTTCTTTTGCTTATCCTGAATATTTCATTTTTCGCTTGGCTTTATTTGCTTGTCTTGATTTTCTTCTCTGTCGAGGTATATCAGTTCTGTTCAACTGACAGCAGATGGTTAGACATACTCACTCACTTTATAACCATATTCATGTTGTAAAGGACCATCAATATATATTTTTTCCCCATTAGTATATTTTGACTAGTGTAAGGCCACTGTCATCTTCACTTTTAGCAATTCTAATCCTGTAGTGAAGGATATTGTGTCTTTGAACCTAAATATGCTTTTTGTTTTTCTCTTCTTTGCTCATAGCAGAAGTTGTACATATTAGAAATGATTCTGAACATATACTTGTCATGTTTTGAAGTAGGCTGATCTCTGTGAAGCTTGTTTGTCAAATGATCTTAATTGAATTTTATTTTATTCAACCTAAAAGATACACCAGTCTGTGCTAACTTTCTTCCCTTTGTTTAAGACCATCATGAGGATTCTTAAGTTCCGAACGTGATGGTTCTAAATGAAGGCAAGAAAGTTCTTTTCACCCACTTATTTTCTCAAACTTACTGCTGTTTCTTGATCATTACTTCCAGGGTTTTGTTACATCTGTCAGTCACATGCGGTCATTTGTCCCAGCCATATATGATGTCACAGTTGCTATTCCCAAAAGTTCACAAGCACCAACAATGACACGACTCTTCAAGGGGCAATCTTCGGTGGTAAGCTGCAATTCAGTTTGACCGTCAGCATTGAGTTTATCCATTGAAGCCTAAATATGGCATTTTACCATTTTACACAAATACAAATAGAGAAAGCCTTACGTACTACTAGTATCATGTACAAGGAAATCAAGATCCTTTTTTTTTTTCGTGGTAGTATTAATGCCCTGGAAAAAATATACAAAAAAGATGTGACATTGTTTACTTCAAACTAGGCATTTACATACCCTTTAAACATTAATTCAATCTAATTGAGAGTTTAATACCCAGTACTAGAACAGAGTTTGCATCCATATCCAGTACTTGGATGTGTATCTGCATAGGGTACAATGGTTGAGAGACTCCAATGTATTGAGTGCTTTTCAACCTGTACTGGGTGATAACAGTTTAGAGTTCTGCAGGTTCATGTGCATCTCAAACGGCACTTGATGAAGGATTTGCCAGAAACAGATGATGATGTTGGTCAATGGTGTAAAGATATTTTTGTGGCCAAGGTGCACTCTTGGTTCCTTTATCATTGATAAGTTTAGTTGGATATTTGTCATGCCAAAATTTTGCGGGTTTCCGGCCTTTCATGACAAGTTTCATATTCATCTATGCTTATCTAATTCATTAATTTTTGCTTCTGCAGCGCCTATTCTTTATTTGTTTTGATCGTAATAACAGTTACAGTGTTATCTTAACTGTGGCTTGTCTTTTGTTCACTATGTGATAACCAGGATGAGTTATTGGACAAACACAAAAAACAGGATACTTTTGGTGAGCAACTGTTGAGAGACATTGGTCGCCCCAAGAAATCACTTCTGGTAAAATGCCGTTTATCAGTTTAGATCATGAGATTTGGCTGTGGTGGATCATTGCATTCACACGTCTTTAAAACTATATGCTAACTGCGTATGATGACAGGTGGTGGTCTCATGGTCTTGTCTGCTGGCTTTTGGGGTCTTGAAGTTTCTCCAGTGGTCATCACTTCTTTCGTCGTGGAAAGGTCTCACACTTTCAGCAGTTGCCTTATTGGTGGTTACACTTATGATGCAAATTTTGATCCGGTTTTCTCAGTCTGAGCGCTCAACTCCTGGTAAGGTTGCTCCAGGAAAGCCTAAGAATGGGGGAGATTCTTCAGTAAGTGTACAAAAGCAGCAATGAAACTCATCATCTTATCAGGCCTTAGATAGAACTTGCGACTTCAGCCTTCATTATGATAGAAACATGTGGCATTTGTATCATGTAGTCTATCATTCCATTTTAAATTTGTATTTTTTGACGGTAAGCTTGTCTGGGACCGATTTTTGTACGAAGATAGACATCGTCTGCATATCAATTGGTGAATTGCTTTCCAACTGGGCTGATCTTATGCAGTGTGCAAAATTATACCTGGCAATTGGGCGAGTTTTGGGCGGGTTGATGTTGGGTTTTCATTTTAATGGATTACATCCAATCCGTTCAATATTAGGTTGGGTTAATTTTGGGTTGGGTCATATTAGGTTATTCCAAATCCATGATTCAAATATGATCAAATATATTAAATAATAGATTTTGATACATAAACTCTTTCAAATATATTTTCACATATTAAAAAAAAATTCACACACATAAATACATTTTCATATAGATAGATATATTTTCACACACTAAAATACTCACAGATATAAGTGCACACTCACTTTTTAAGTTCTTTTGAAATACGTTATTTTTACACATACAAACACACTAAAATAGACACTAATATACTTTCACAAATACACACATATATTAACTGTTTAAACTATTTGGATCCAATCACACTTTAAAGAAAGTTATATATTGAAAATTTGACCCAAAAAATAAACACAAAAGAATCATGCATGATAATACATTTGAGCCGTTGTAAAATGGAGAAATTAGAAATTAGAAATAAACACAAAATGAATCATGTTGCATCCTAAAAGATAACTTCCGAATTTGCATCTGAAATTTATTTTGAATATATCATGAGTAGAATTTGGCATTTGATCTCCCGTTCAACATTTTTGTGATATACTCCATATTACACCATATATCCTTCACGATTAGTTGGCCATTCCTATGATCCTTATTATGGGTGTCACCTAATTCATAGTGTAACATGAAATATAATTCTAGTAAAAGTTTAACGAAGAATGCCAAGACTTAAATTATTCTTCTCTTATTCAAGAAAAACTTTAATTATGCTAACCAGAAATCTGGGTAGTAATATTTATAATTTGCACAAACTAGAGAAGACAATAGTATAATAACAAGTTTTACATCTCTGTCAAATGAAAGTGGAAGTTGGGTAATGGATATCCAACACAAATATCCAATCCGCCTAAAATATATTTGGATTTTTATTACCCAACCCAAAATTGACCCAACACCCAAATTACCCAACCCAACCTCTAAAATTAGTAGATGGGTTGGGTGGGTTATTGATTTTTGGGCATAATTGCCAGGTATATGCAAAATCAAAGAGACGCCCATTTCAAATATAGTTCTTCATCTTAACTTTGTCTATTTCAGTCAATCGGAATGTGAAGCTATTAGTTGATCGTACGGTGGGTAGGAGCCCGAATGGACCATGGTCTTCATTTAATTGAGCTATTGGACGAATGTATTTAGTTCTAGGTGGGGTGGGGCTGTAAGTTTTGTGATTGTCATAAACTTTTCTTTCATCCGTAATAAAAATAAATTTTCTTTGAAGGGCTATAGTTTTGTGATTATCAACTCTGAGCGTTGAGATTTTCTTGCCATTCATTTCTTTGTCATCATCTTTGCTACTCCATAATTTGGTGTTTAATGGAACTTAATTTGGGAATGAACTCTTTGAAGCGTAACTTTCAAAAGGAGGGTATATGAAACTTTCTCCTGGGGCCAAACGCTAATAATAATCGGAGAAATAAGCCTAGGGCTAACTTCACATATAGGGTTTTATTAATTGCAGAAAGCCTCAAAAATCATAGAATGCCCTTGGATTATAATTCACAACATTCAAATCACTCATGAATAAACGCTTGTCTTTGCTCCAAAACCTCTCTTTAAATCAACTAAAAATGTCGAATCAAATATCCAAAAACTTATCTACAATTTCATATTAATATCAAATTTTCCTTAATATCCAGCAACATTGTATTCATTAATAACTCTAAACTCCAATTCCATGGCTGCTACCTTTCCAATACAAATTAGTCTATGTCATCACCATTAATACGAATATCCAATATACTCCAGTAGCACACTGTTTAAAATCAATCAAATTTTGTCTATGTAGGAATACCATCAATAGGAATTGCAATAGAAAATATAAATGCAATGCAGTTATAAATATATTAGGAATATTTTCTTTCCCATAACAACCATAATAGTATAATATTTATTTAGTTCTTTTTAGACTTTCCATTCTTAATTTTTTATTTTGTTATCACTGCCATTATCTTCATCTCCAGCTAGTTTAACAACTAAATCGTCACTCAACCTATTGTTTGACAAATTCAATTTGCTAATACCTGAAAAAAAATTAGGCTACTTAGTTGACGGTCTTCGTTGACCATCTTCGATGGAGTTTCTATTCACATCGAGTCCCTTCCCTCTCCTCCCTAGATTAGGCTAACTTAGGTTATAGGAATCCTATCGTTGCGATAAAAAAAATACCTGAAAAAAATTGAAAATAGAAATGGGTATAGAGAAGCTATTTAATAGTGAAAGAGAAAGAATTGAGAATAAACACCAAGATAGATAAACACATATTTATTGGTAACAATAATACATATTTAGTCAATGGGTTGGTATGCATGATGGTTTTGTTGGTAACAATAATACATATTTAGTCAATGGGAATGGATAAATAAATTTAAAAGGGAGAAGATGTAAGAGAAAAAGGATAGAGAGTTAAATAGGGAAGGCTGCTATTTGAATCATTGGTTTACAATGGATGAGGGAGGTTAAATTTTGGTAGAGTTTTTCAATGAATTGATAATTAAATAAAGGATGTTGTTGTCTTTTTACTACACTAATGGAGGTCCCGTAATTATGAAAACCTTAGGGGAGCCGAGTGACATTGTCAGACACCTTAGGAGTGGTTTCTGAAATTATCCCATAAATTTATAATACATCATCAGAGTGCTGGAAAAGTCCGATTCTTCTAAACAAATCTGATTAGTACTGCTACTTTTAAAGATTTCGTGAGTGAGCTTTCAGCATAAAGTGTCTTATTACCTTATGATTCAGCATTGACATCACTTGTAAGTTGTAACTGTAGAATCTGGTAGTATACCTATACATTAAGTATAGTATCATCCAAATTTCGAATTTCAGCCTAATTTTGAACTTAAAATTGAGAAAACTGTAACGATCTTTGCTTGCTGGACTATTCGGATTAATGTCAAAGAATAATTTTTCGATTCGTAAGCAAGGAAACTCAGAATCTGCTTTCAATTAAAAAGAATGAAAAAGCAAATTCATAACAAGGCCTTTCAATCCACGTATAAAATTTTGCTTCATTCCACTTGAAATCAAGGTGCTTGAATTTCACAGAACATTGTTTCTGTTCCAGGATACTGATCAAATCAATAATTGACGACATTACTTTCATTAGTTTCCACTGTATATTGGCCTAAATTTACAACTGGCATTTGTCATTGCGAACAAAAACATTTATTTGCACCACCCGTGATCCCCTCCTTGCATCTCCAAAACTCAGCAGATCCCAACCGGACTGCATTGATATACTCCTGGATTCCATGTGCTGGAAAACCAGGAACTAGGAGACCAAACAATCTACATACTAGTAGCAGCAGGCCTTCTCTGTATTCTGGTCCATATATATGGGGAAGAAGAAAGCTTCTTACAAGCTCCCAAAGGGCATCAAGCCTTTTTGTTATGAAAGCACGGATGGAGAAGTAGTTTTTATGTGGTTCTTGCGGAAACATCTGCATCACAGGCACCAAGAAGTCTTTTTTGAAAGAATTTATTGGACAGTTTTTGACAGGAATATTAGAGGACAATCAAATGTTTACCTTTCCTTCATACAGGCTGTTATAGAAAAGGCATGGTCCAAAGTGTCTAAACAATAGTGTTGTGTCATCATCATAGGGAAGCCTGGGCACAATGTCATAACCGTACACAAATCTGTAGTATTTTATATCATAGCTCTTAAGCTGCTCCTTGGCATAGTCTCCAAATTTCACGTCTCCCACTCTTGGCTGCCCAAACGTGTAGATTGCCTCCAGTCTTTCCAATATACAAGTCTCATCATGCAATGCCAGAACTGCCGGAAAGAGGATAGCAAGTGCTCCTCCTAAGCTGTGTCCAGTCAGAATAAATTTGGTCCGACTGTGGGGATGAAGAAGTTTCCTGAGCTTCTCTTTGATGGTATAGTAAGCTATCGGTTTTTCATTATCATGGTCAATTGTAGGAGGCCAACTTTGATCGTTCTGCAATCCTAGAGCTTTGATGAAGCCACTATGGACTTTTCCCATACTCTGGAACTTGTACCAAGATAAGTCAAAGTCTGTACACCAATCATCTGCATTGAAGAGTTCGGTTCCTCTAAAGGCCACAATGATCATATCAGGATTAGCTGTTTTATCATGGATTATGAGCCCTTGTGTTGAATATTTCTGTTGATACTCTGCAAATATTGTGGTGAAGCAAATTAAGGTCGATAACTATTGAACAATCTTGATTATTAGCACAATGTGATGCTTACCATTCCAGAAGTCATATTCCCCTATTAACTCCATCTGCATAAAATAGCAGACAATTAACTTATGTATAGCTAATTTAGAGACTTGCAGAAGTTATTGGTAGCTACCAGATTTCTAGTTGTCTTTTAAAAATTTCTTATCAACCATATATTTTTAACTTTGAAAATGAAGGATGGCATTAGTAATCTGAAACACTATATTACCTTCCATTTATCTTCAACGACAGCTTTGATGAATGCTTTATTTTCATATGCAATTTTAGAAGCCATTACAGACAGCTCTGCAAAATATTTTTTGTCACCTGGCTTGATGTTCTTATCCAATTCTACTCTTCTGTCAAAATGCCCTAGAAATGACATAAAGTCAGCTGATCCTTCTGCTGGCACCACCACCTTCCCTTTATGTCAGAGACATCTATATGATCACTTCAATTTTCATGATGCAACAGATCAACATGCACACAAGTAGTGCATGCTAGAGGTGTAGAAAATGAAATGGACAAATAAACTAACCTCGCAAAAGATTCAGTAGGAAAAGACAGAAGTTTCCATTACATGCAAGAAGATTTAGCCACAACTCAAAGATTGAACCAAAAACAGACAAGGGCTTTGCTGCGAACTGGAGAACATTTTGAATGAAAATTGAGAAAAAGA